TTGATGTAATTCTTATATTGTTACGCATGCAAAGATCTTGAAAATGGTCTAAATCAATAAGAATTTGTGGAAGAAAGACTAAAGCAATATTTATGGATGCATAGCTATATATATCTTTCTTATAACCATACCTAAAACTACTAAAATTAAAGCTTCAATATATGGGTAAACCAAAGTTTTTTTTTTTTTAAGAAGAAGAGACCAGAGAAAATCCCAACCAATTAATGATATAGATAAATAGAAGATTAATTATCATTTAAGAAAGCTGGTTGAGGGTTGAGCTGTCACGGTTGTGCATGGTTGAAGCTGTTGTTTTATACTTTTTTTTTTCGTTTTCTCTCTCTAAAATCCACCATACTCTCTCTCTCTCTTCCACGTTTTTTTAATAAAATAAATAAATAACTTTTATTTTTTGAAAAATTAAGAATTAAGGAAACGGTTGGTTAGACACAAAATGACTCCGTACCAACTCCAATGGAGCGATTACGCGCCAAGTTGGTATGGCGGGTGGGCCCCACTTCCATCAACTGCCGGATAATCAGGTTCGATATTTGATGGGATGATCCTAGCCGTTCAATCGCCTCCGATATGTTTATTTTTAATTATTTTTTGTTATGGCGTGAATGGAGTATTTTTTGGGCAAAATCGGATGGGATATGTTAGTTGTGATGTTTTGGATTAAATAATACCATAATTATTTTATAATCACATTGCTTAATTATTTGTCTATAATATTGTTTTTCTCTATTCTCCAAATTCAAAAGTTTCAGCTCGCTCCACTGTCGTTTTGAAAATGTGTTAATTGCAAAACAATAATTTTAATTTTAATTGGATGAAGAATTGACTATCTTTGTGTTAAATACATTTTGTGATCATATTATTATTCTCTCTCTCTCGAGAAATTTGAGGTTTAATTGTGTTGTACAAACATAACAAGTTCTATCTTATAATATCTTTACACGTAAGGCGTCTTTTTTTTTCCATAATTATATATATACTTATATATTATTACAAATCCAGAGAGAGAGAGGTGATTTTTTATTTTGTGGGTAATTAGTATGTTTATTTCATGAAATTTAATCATAGAAAGTTTTTAACTAAATCAATAAAATGTAATTTCACATTAAGTCATCATTTTGTCAAATAATTTTAACGTTTGATGACAATAAAAGATTTAGTTTAAATTTCAAAACATGATGGATATGAAATTAAAACGTTCAAAAGGTTAGAGACTAAATTATAAAGAAAAAAAATGATAAACATGGGAAACTAAAAACATAAATTTGCCTCGTTATTTTAATGTTGATTGTGATAATGTAGGAAACAGTAGTATGACATACTTTTTTTTGTTTTTAATTCCGATCCTTTCAAAATTATGTTAATTTTCGAGGTCAAACCGACCAATGTAGATCTCAACGGTCAATCGTTGTAACGAATGCGTCAAAGATTATATGCTACGTGTAACCGCGCTTTTCCGATAACAAGCTGCTATTTTCGAGACGGTTGTAACCGTTCCCCAAGTGACGTCGGAAATCCAAAATCTATGAGTATATAGGGTCCCACCTCACTTCTCAAGTACACGAAATTATTCTTTGTATAGATTGGACTTAGACTAACTTAAACATTGGAACCTTTTCTCTCTTCGGTAACTTCATCCGCCATCCCAATTTAAGCTTCAGTCACTATCCATTTTTAGTCTAGCATTTATCAAAACTCCAACAACCAAACTAGTATTAAAAAATATGGTTCAATCAAATTAATAAACTTTGTTACCAAGAAACGAACAGGAAAAATAATAGGAGAAAGAGAAATAAAATCCATATTAATATTTGTCAAATGATCAAAAGGTTCTATTATTATGTTATGTGATATAAAACTTATTTAATTATTTGCAGGTAAAAATTCCTAATTGTCAATGGAATCTCTCTCTCTCTCTCTCTCTCTCTCTTTTTTTAATATAGGAATAAACAAAATGCTCCAAGGATAAGTTCTAATAAGAATAAAAATAACACAAAATATATATTCTTACTTAATTTTTGACATATTTTATAGTTTTGAGAATATTAATCTGATCAATTAGAATATTCTCTATTCTCTTACTTTCTCACAACAGCTTACTTATATAGGAAAGGAATCTCTAGGCTCTTCATAAAAGAATTTTACTTAGAAATATTAGTTTTTGAGTAATAAAAGGAAAAAAAAAATAATATATATATATATACCATTAGAATTATAATAAATGGAGTCGCTAAAAATATTTTAGTTCAACAAGAAGGTAAGAATCTGAACCATCGAAAATAAGTAATATTTTGACTAGCGTTGAGCTAGGCTCGATATCAACTTAATCTCGAACTTTTTATTTCATCAATTGTTCCTTAAAATTTATTTTGTTTTGAATTATTTTTCTATCGTCAAACAAAATTTTATTAATTTGTGCCCATCGAATAACATTATATTCAACCAAAGAATCTTATTTCATTTTCAACATCAATTGTTTCATATTTTAGCTCTCGCTATTCCTTTGCATTTTTCTTTTGGTTCAATCGGTTTGTTATCACACAAATCTACACCTATGTGAAAATTTGTCGATTTCTCAATTAATAGGCAACAAAATCACAAATATTTTATTTACTTAAACCTACTCAATTGATCATAATAAAAATACATATATATAGTTTAAATATTAGTTTTAAGTTAATCATTAAATAATTGGTTAGTTAGCCTGCTAGATGCTAAAACAACATAATTATCATAAATAAATGAATAGTACTGAGTGATCCTAATACTAATTTATGTAGTTAATCGTTTTTTTTTCCTTTAGCTAGTTTACATTGATTTAAATCTACTTGTAATTCAATCATACTTTTAAATATTAAACCTTTCACAATTTCTCTACTCAACTTCTTTTTTTAATATCTCAATACAGAAAGAAAAAAAAATCAATACAATGACAAATAAATTCAAAAAGAAAACAAATTAAAAGAACCCAAAAGTCGAAAAGAAAGAAAAGTTTACAGTTCTTTTTAAAAAGATAAAAGAATAAAAAAAAATACCATAAACCTTCGTCCAGGTACATCGGAGCCATGGGTGGATTAGATGGTAATATTATAATATTTTATTATGAAAAGAAAATGACTTTTATTCACTAAAAAAAAAACCTGTCGTACGCTTATTGGGAATCTAATTTAATTTAATTATTGAAAAATAAATTCACCACTATTTTAAATAAAAAAATTGTTAATTTGACCTTTCAATTTAATTTTTATAGTTTACAAAATTTTAAGTTGGTATCTATAATTTAGACTAGGTTTATTGATTTTAAAAGTTCTAATTCCATCTACATTGTTTGTTAAACTTCCTAAATCTTATTTAAACATATTTTTATCCATCTAAAAATTTTATTATTTTTCATTTATTTTTATTCAATTTTAAACTCTAATACATTTTGGTATTACAGTCGGTCATGACCAGTATGAAAAACATAAATTATTTAATACGGTATGATTTATAACTTACAAAATCGATGAGAGAGATTTAACCAAATTAGAGAGCTAATTAAAAAATTTTAAAATAATAGAACTGAACTGAAATTAAATTAAATCTGTACATTGTTAATTTAACCAAATAATAGATTAATAATGACAAATTATAGTTGAATTATTACAGGATATTTTGATAACGGCCACTTTGATATTCGGTCGTCACTTTTGAGCCGTCCGATCTCATCGATTGCGTCGAAATATAAATAAAAGTTTTTATTTTTTTATTAAAACATAAAAATATGGTGGGTGGTGGTGGCGGCAAGTGGTGGGTGGGGCCCACCTTACAGCTGTGGCTCTTTTGTCGTGTACTCGACTTCCCGGTAGAAAGCGACGCGCGTTAGAGTGGTCCCCACGTTTAAAATTTAAAATAATAAAATAATAAAATGAAATATTTAAAGAGAAAGAGGGGCAGCGCAGGGAAATTTTGGACAAAAGAGAGAGAATTGAGAGTTGTCGCAATCAGGAGAGTGGGACCCACACCATCCCTGAGCTATCGTTTTCTTTGTTTCATCGGCCAAAGATTTTTTTTTTCTTCTTCATTTATGAATGTTCCAAAGTCAATTAGGTTTGTTAAATTAGAATATTACTGTTTTTTTTTCCATTCTTTTTAATTAATTCTAAAGCTATAATTAAAGAAAAAAATTGGGATCATTAGGGCTGATTTGGTGGCATTGAGTCAAATCAATGCCGAGAGAGCATTTTTAAAAAATAATCTAGAGAAATATGTTTGAATAATTTGCTTTCTTAATTTTATTTTAAAGAATCATATTTCCCAGACTAAATTATAAAAAATACACATCAAGGAACTTTCCTGGTTAAAAAATATCTTATCATTTCAAAAGTTCAAACTGCTTGACATTTCAAAATGTATTAAAAGAAATTGACATTTCAAAATGTCTTAAAAATGCTATTTGAAAAAACATTTTCAAAAAAGTTAACGTGACAGAATATAAAAATGTGAAAGAAACTTCAACTTTTTTAAGGTTGGGACAAAATTTGATTCATGATAATAGAGAAAGAAAATTTTTAAGATAAAATTGAGATGTTAATGGTATGTCGTTTCATATTTTGCTACATCGACTTTCTGTTCAAAATATTAACATATGTTTGTTTAAATGGTATTTTTGAAACGTTCATAAAATTTTAAAACAAATGAAAAAGTTCAGGTTTTTTTTTTNCTTTTTTTTCTATTACAATTGAAATACCATGGGCTTGTGATTAGTACACAAAACTCCTGACTTTCAAATGAATCAGTGGTATTTGTTGATTCTCAAAATCAGACAGAAATGTTGGTTGATTTAGTTTGATTCAGTTTTTCATGGCTTTTCAAATTGAGGATAATAATTAAATCGAATACGAGAGAATCAAACAAATTCAATTAGTAAAATTTTTGTCTTTTGTGTCATTGATGAGAACTTTCTTTTGAAAAAGGTTTTTCTCAAACACCTTCTTATTTGCGTATGGATAAAACTTGCAAAAATTGTTAGCCTTAGTTTAGTTTCGTGGACCTTTAAAATCAATTTTAAAAAGCAAATTAATAATAACAATAAATAAATAACAGTCTCTCTCTCCCAACCAAACCCTTGTTTTGTTTGTTAAGAAATTTTTATTAGTATTGATTTTCTTTTGTATCAGGCATCAAATTATGATTGGGATATAATTTAGGATAGGATTTCTAATTCCTTGATTTTTAGTTATCTTCCTCCTATTATAAATAGGTGGGTAGTGTTGTATCTAATTCATGGAATTGAATTAAATATGAAATCTTATTTTGTAATTCTTCCCGTCTTCTCTCCACCCTAAAAGCTTTCTAAAAGTTAGCATAGTTTGATAAGAAATAAATAGTCAATGGGTTTTAGAAGTAGAATATTAGATATTTTTTATAAAAATTTTATGCATATATTTTGAGGCTCTAAGAAAAGTTACTAAAACTTAAAGAACATACGAGTCTTATGGGATGGTGCAATGACAAATACCTTACGTCTAGTAGTATATCACCTACTATGAGATTTTATATTACAGGGAACCATAGCATAATTCACACGCCATCGATACTAAAAAAAATTATATTTGTGACTTTCTTCATAGACCACTATGGCCAGCGGCACAATTTCATAAGACCTAAAGGATTTTTGGGCTACGCTTTCCTCCACATAGAGAAATAAGCCCAAGATAAGAAACACAAAATGTAGGAGTAATAGTAATCAAATTAATATAGTGATTCGAATAGGTGGCCAAAATTTTTTAAAATTGTACATAATTTTAGGAGGTTTACTGGCAAATTAATTTAGATGTAATTTTCCCTGCAACTAAATCATCAATATTTTGATGAGATTTTTTCGACAGATAACAAATACCTAAACATAAGTATTTAATCTAATACAAAATATTACCAAATTTTAAAACATGTAATGTAATAGAATTTAAAAGAGTTGTTAAGGCAGTATTTAAAATAAAAGATTTATTAAAATAAAAACATTGCGTGTACGAGAAATGGGAAAATTGTCATGAAATCATACTAAAATGAGATAATGTATTATGTACCAATGTCATTTTATTGCAGATTTAATGCAATTTGGAAGGCTCAAGATGCACACCTATGTAATCAAGTACATCTCCTTTGTCACTTGGATTCCCACATTAAATCTTCTTCTCCTACTGCATTCAATTCAATTTTTTGCTTTCATTCAAAAAAGGCAGAATACGATTTGTTCAAGATAACAATGCCAATCCACCCCTTTACTTTTGTTTTCTTCAATAATTTTGATGCTGTGTATGATATTATGAATCTGAGATTCGGAATAAAATTCATTGTAAAAACAAGAACCTAGGATTTTTTATTTGAAAATTCTAACTACATGTGTCTAAGATGCCATGTATTGGCCGATTCATTCCGTAGGCCAAAAAAAAAAAAACCGAAAAGATATTTTGCCGAAAAATGGCATTTTTTTTTCATAATGGGAGTAAATAAGGTCTCCTACTCTAAACCCCTCAAATTTTATTATACCATGAGAGGTGGCTTTAGTTCTGTATCAACAAGTTGAAGTGGCTTAGAACTGGAGAGATTTTAAGAGCCTAAAGAAATGGGATGTATACTCCATTTATTTACAATAGGGAAAACTGTATCCAAATTCTCATAAGGAATTAGGCTAGCCAACAGCATGTGTTTCAATTGACAAGGCAACAAGCAATTTACAGGGAAAAAAACAAAATAAAAAGAAAATGAAACTTCTATCGTATCTGCAAACCAAAATTCACATCACAGTGCACTTCTCCTTCGATTTGGTCTCAGTCCTCGTGGAAGAAGATTGACTGGTTTTGCCACTAGTTCTAGGCACCTGAAAAATCCTACTCTCAGCTCCAACTCCATATAAATGGAAAAAATGGGGTGGTTTATGCATTGCACAATATCAAAAAGAAATCATACTTAGATGCTGGTATCTTTCTACTTATTCGCACCTAAATATTTTATTCTATTAGAAAATATGGTGCAAGAGCTACACAAAACAAGCTTTTTATTTCACCTACTACTTATAATTTGTGGAACAGGTAATAGTAGTAGATATAAAATCACAACCATTGAAATCATAGGTGGCCAGGTCCCCATAAACTATGTTACAAAAAACAAAAGACGGATGCTAAGAATATGTAGCAATAGCATGAGAAGGTGTAATGTAAGGCCCATAAGAAAACTCTACCTGAGGACCCACGACCAGCCTTGAACTGCCGCCGGAAGATGGCTGCTGTACATTTTGCCGCTGTGGTTGTTGTTCAAACTCCTGCTGTTGCAGGGCTATCGCTAGTTGCAGGTCAGAACTGCAGCGACAAAAAATGAAAGCAAAAATTTTAAATACCATTTTAATCATTCAGCAGTCAGCTCCAGTCTGTGTAAAACATATGCGTTAGATTTCTTTAGTTTATAACTGAACCATGAATCTGCATGTGCTTGGAGTCTCAAGTGGATGTAAAGAACTACGGTGATTTTTTTCTCTTTTTACTTATTTTCCATTTGAAAAGGACAATTGGGTGACAACTCCAATTCCATTTTTAAGTACTTATTTAATTTCCTGCTAACCAAACTATTATACAGTTCAGGAATTGGGGAATGAAAAAATGCACCACAAGGATATTTATGGGGGAAAAACCATCACTTATTTAGTTCCCTGAGAGATAAGGCCCACCCGACGTGAAGAAACATAAGCATAAGAAAATATTCACTGAAAGAATATCATTAACCGCAACACACAAAAGACTACATAAAAAAGAGAGAAAAAATGAAACTTCCATAGCATTCATTTGCATGTTTTTGTGAGAAAAGTAGTATACTAAAGGCAACGAGATAGGAAGTTACTTTAAATCCAATCCGGCATGTTTGGTAGCGTCAATGCTAGCTAGATAGTCCTGCAGCATGTATATAATAGTCTTGGTAAAATTGTAAAGAAAAAGAAATCAATGCAGCAAAAAATTGTTGGAACATTATAATACGAACCGCAGTGCTTGCCATTGCATTATGTTCATCCCAAGACTCATTTGAATGATTTTCTACCTTGAATTCTTTGAAATTACCTGTCATAAATAAAGTGTCTCCATTTACCTGCAAAACATTTTGGAGTTAAAAGATGGATAGAATATGTTAAACTATTATCATTTTTTTTTTATAAGAGTTAAACTATCATCATTGTTGTCAGGACTATTACGATTCTCTCTCTCTTCTAAAATGAAAGGAGTGCACCAAAAGCTATTTATGCCAATATAGAAAAGTTAATTGAGCAGATTTACCTCATTTAGCTTTTCCCACACCAAATCAGGTTGATGAATGTAACCTTGGTCTGTAGCTAAAAGATAAAGCTGGCCATCAAGCTGAAAATGGTATGGTATAAAAACTCGTATTAATTTTTCAAATATAAGTATAGCCAAATATCAAATCTGAAATACATCAATTGCCATTCTACTCATTCATTAGTAACTGTAGCTAACAGCTCTGGGAGCAAAAGATAAAAAAACCATCAAAACATAGAATAATTCCAAGTCTTGCTGACCTTAAACATGGTGCTGAAGTGATTATTACGGAAAAAAACACAAAGCTCGCGCTCTTTAAGACCATCTTGTAAGCAGAAAATACTGCAAAAGCAATAACATTAACCCAAGGAAGAACTATCCAATACCAGTGTAATTAAACATAAAAGTTGAGCAGAGAAATTGAGAATGACAAGCAGGAACCAACCCGTAAAAAGTTAGCTGACTTGCATTATTCTTCAAAAAATTCCTGATCAGCTCCCCTGATAACAATTAAGAAGAGATTTTCCCTCATAAATTTAAATGGACATAAAATGCAATATTTCTTATCAAAAATAAAATGTAATATTGGCAGGTGGAAAGATCATTAATCTTTATGGTACAAAACCACTTCTACCTTGTTTTGGACTTATTTCATCCTTTGAGTGTGCATTACAGGCATTGACGGAGCTTCCACAACCTTGTTCTGCAAGAACCACTTCACCTTCATATACAGGCTCTCGATTTTCAAGAACCGTGCTTCTTGGATTCAATATACATTCCTCTCCTTCATAAATGGGCTCACTACCAACAGTTGAAGTCAAAGCTTCAGGTACATCTATACATTGAATTTCAACTCCAGCTGAATCTGTAGAAGTAACGGATGGAGATAGGCCTGATAGTTTAACTGGGTCTTCCATATCACCCGGTCTATGATCAACCATTTCAGAAGAAGCTGGCAAAGGGCTTTTATCATTCGTCTGAGAAATATCCACAGGACTCACATTTACAAACAGAGCCTCTTTTCCAGAACTAGGAGCAGTCTCAACTAATGTCTCGTGGTTGTCCTTCTCCAACAAGTTCTGACAAAGTTTATGCCCTTCAGACTCCTCAACAGACTGATCAAGGTGCTTTTCCGCATCCGTTTTCAATGGTGAAGAACTTACTTGTCCTTGTACAATTGGAAACGGTGACATATCTTCATTGCTCTTACTCAATGAGGTTTTGCCAGCATCTACTATGGATGATTCTGGCAGCTGGTTAATATTTTTGTCTTCAGCACAGATGTCTTTTACTATGGTCTCCTCCACAGTATCTATGACTGAAACCTTTACAGGAGATGGCTCCCCATCCAATTTGGTGGAGGTAGTGTCTGGACCCTCAGAATTGGCAACACCATTATTACTCATGGAGGTTGGTGTTTCAGATTCAGACAGTTTCAAGGCTCTCAATAATTCTGCCTCTTCTTCAAGATCCCCTTTTCTCATTCTTTGCTCCTCAGAGACTGAACGAGGTGACTCATCAAAGGATCGAGCTTTTGAAAGACATGGAGATGGTACTCCAAGCGTTGCTGTTGTTGCTGCTACGAAATCAATACAATCATCTTCAGGATTGTTCTTACTTTGCTCCATGCGTTGTGTTTCCAGAGCAACGAGCTCCTCCATAATAGCATTGTAGGACTTGGAACCAACTGCACTAGCAGTATCATCATCCTGACACACAGAAAGAATAAGATGACAAGATTATGGTGGGGGGAGGGGGGTTAAAATGGAAAGCTCAAACCAAGGTCAAATACTGTTTGTACATCAAGACAGAATTCTAGAAACATATAACAAACAATAAATATCCAGGTAATTGACACTTCATATTGCAGGCTAAATATGCAGAGCTCTACTCCCACTACGCTAAATAGTTCACAAAAATTTTTGTGACAAATACATCTTTGTGACAATTGCCAAAAAGTTCTAGGGTGGTAGCATATCAAGAAATAACAGGCTAGTGGCCTAGTACGTAGACTTGGAGAATCCAACATAGTTTTTTAGCAATTAAGTGCAGAGGATCCAAATGACCGAGAGCCCTGAAGGCTACATTGCAGATTGTCTTGAATATTAGTCCAAGTTACCACAAAACCTTCATCATCTGTCCGAGGCTACCACAAAGTCTTCATCATCCTGCACCTCTATTCATGAAACAATCTCCCCTAGTTCTGTGATAACTTCAATATCCTATTAACAAAACAGAAACTCCAAAAACAACTGCAAGCACCATAGCTTCACCAAAACATTTTTCCAAGAAATTTCAGATGCTTAATATAATAAAGAAGTTGTGGAAGTCCTGAAAAGGAATCAAATACTCAAAAAGATATTAAAAAGGTCAAAGAATATTTTAGAACTTGAAGACATGGGTAAAGCCACATACCCATAACTCGAGAATAGAGAGAATGAAAACCAACATAGACACACAAAAAACCATATAGCATGGCTAATTAAATTTATCTTAGTAATGAGAAAGTATATAAGAACCTGGGGATCAACTATCCAACCATGATATAGAGGAATATCCAACAAATCAAAAATGGCACACTCTGGAGTGAATTCAAAATCATCAAACCTGCAAGTACGAGATTTAATTTAGTTCAAAGAAAGGAAGATGAAATCAAAAAGATTTTTTGTGAGGATTAAAAGCCTATCTACCTCCTAAACTTAATATTTACATCTATCCCTGTTGCTAGCCGTGGCAGCAGATCAATGGCATCAGAAATGTTCTGTTGTTGATTCTCAACAAAACCAGCATCTTTGTTCTGTTACCCAACAAGAGACTGTCTAAGAACTGAATAAGGTGAAAAGGGGGTGGGGGCAAATTTTCATAGTGTATATTAGAAGTAAACTGCTTACATCGACATTACTATTTGAATCAATTAACCGTTCAGCAACCAGAGATAACAATTTCTCCTGCGATACTTCTGTTGCATCTGGACCCAAATTTAAGTTGTTTCGCAACAAGAGAACATTACCTGCACCAACCTCAACATGAATTACAAAAGATGGAATTTTCTCTAGCCTGATAAACAAACATCAAAAAGCACACCCAATAATAAACAAATAAAAAGAATCTTTACAGAATGAGCCTCCTTAGCACAAGAGTTTCAAGACAGCACACAGCAAAAATATAAAATGTCGTTTGATGAACTACTATGAAGCTTGATTATTTCAGTCTTCATCAATATTCAGGTAGCCAACTTCAGAATATTCGTAACCATTTTCTGTAATACATCCAAGCAAGTATCAAAAACAACCAAATCCAACATAAAAACATGCACAATATTCTGATAAGCCAATAAAATATAATATTTTATGGCATGACTAATCATTTATGGAAAAAGAAATTCATTTTATTTAAAAATATTCCAGGGTCATAGCAACAACTTCCTACGCTATTTCCAAACACATCTAAGATGCAAGAGTAGAAATTCTTCATTTAGAATGTTCGTGAACAAAAGAGTATTCTATAGTGAGAAGACGGTTTCATCAGTTGGAAGCTCAAAGCAGTACATAATGGATAACAACATCTACTGGCCACCTACTTTAACTTACAAGCAGTTGGACTAATTTGGATTGAATCAGCAGTTACAATTTATAAATTGCTAGAATGAGTCTCGTTGTGTGTGCATTAGTTTCGCGGGTGAGCAATTGAGAGGACAAATGCAAAGTGTCAGATAAACAAACCATATGCCCTCCAGTTTACTGTCTTTTTGTTTCGTGATTTCTAGTAATTTAAGATCACAGTATGTTTTTACTGAATTCTATTATTTGCTAAACTCCTTGCTCACAAAAGATCTGGTCTGAAATGGCAAGATTTCATGAGGTACCTCGAGGTTTTGATTAAAATGAATCTAATAACAAAATCAGCTAGATATTAAGTTCTCATTGATCAAAATAATATAATAAAAAAAATGCTCATCTTCTTTCGTTTCTATTAAACATCCAAACAAAAATCCTGTATACATTCATTTCATATCCATCTCGTTCCAAAAAGAATTGAAAATTTAAGTCATTCCTAATTTTTAAATCACGTGCTAATGAAATTTCTTGAATAAGTAAAAGAAAAAGAAAAGGATTAACTCTTAGAACCCACAAGAAATTAAAAGAAAGGAAGGAGTATCGGTCTGTTTGGCTAAACACTCCAGTCCGGTGGCCAAAATACTGACGATCCTAAGTAATCAGGGAACGGGAAAGAGAGTGAGAGTAATAAACCCTAAAATTGTTATCATTAATCAACATATAAATAAACCAGTAGGCAGAGTGTAAATGCATTAAAAACAATCATACTACAAATGATCGAACGTTCGATCGCCATTAAGAACATCATATTCTACACGACAATTTAGCATTGCATAAACGGGGCCGTTATAGCACTTGACATTTATCGATCAGAAAAGAACGAGGAAAAGAGAAGAAGAAAAATCCAACTCCAAATCTCCAATTGAAAATGCACCTAATCCAACAAAAAGAATCCGCAGACACGTATGTGTACTTTGCCGATATCAAATTCAAACTGGCAACTCCGACCATCCGAATAGTTGCCCAAAGCAACCAAAAATGACGCCACACCACAAAAAGATAACAATCAAGAAGTGAAACCCTAACATGTGGAAGAGAGAGATAGATGATTACATATGGCGAGGAGAGGACAAGGGCCATTATCATTCTGGAGGACGATAGGCGTTGTGCGTCCAAGAAATTGAATAAGTTTGGTTTTGTATACGCACTCCTTCTCCTTTTCCCTCTCCTTCTCCTTCTCATTCTCCTTCTCCTTCACCGGCTGCTGCTGCTGCTGTTGCTGTTGTTGATTTTGAGATTCTTCAGAAGATGAAGGCGACGCCATGGCCAATCTCTAACGAATTGCAACCCCGTTCTCTCTCACTCTCTTTTATACAAAGAAATGGTAAGAAGAAAAAATAAAATAAAAAGAGAAAGAAATGCGAAATAGATGATAGGAGGATTCAGATTGTTAATTGCAATGTGCGTGTTGGACGGCAACGACCAACGGGGCCTTTATTTTCCCTTTTTTATTATCATTATTTCTTCCTTTTTGTAATAACTATTGATGTAAAATTATGGTAAGATAACGCGTTAAATATTAAAATTTTTGTTAAAATCTTTATGGCCTTGTAATAAAAAAAGATAAATTCGTTTTTTTTTAATGCAACATCACGCGGGAACAAAAACCAAAAAGGAAATTAATAGTTACATATTAACTTAGATGTGCTCATGTTGGATATTATTTATAGCATTTTAAATATAATATCAAAAGAAATATTATTATTATGGTCTAATAACATATAATTTCATTCCTACGATATCTTTATATCCTAGGTTATAAAATCTCCAATTTCGTAATTCAAACTAATAAATTAGCATAATCACATGTGTAAAGCCAAATAAATAAAAATGTATGCATAACCATGTAAAGTAAAATATTATATTAATTTAATTTAAAGCTTATGGGATATGCATTTCATATTTGAATGATATTTTAGTTTATTTTTCTGTTAGGCAAAATAATTCAACTAGTATCATATTATAGTTAAAGTTTAAATAATTACATATCTCTCAACTCATGTCAAAATTGAAATTCACTCTCTTAATATCTAGTTTTTTATAGCTTCGTCAAGAGGGAAGAAAATGTAGTAGCTCATTACCTAGCGAAGTTTGTATTGGATTGAAGATTGGTCACCAAAGATTATCATACCCTTTTGGTCGGATGTCAAGACATTGTTTTTTAATGTAAATTTTCCTTTATTTTACATAAAAAAATGAAAATATAACTCAAATATCTATATTATAGGTATCATATGTTACTCGCATGGTATTCAATATCTCAATCAATCTATTATATTTGTCAAACAAAATATTTAAAATGGTATAACACATTTTTCAAAAAGAAAAGAATGGAAAAAATGAAATATGTTGTAATATTCAATTTTTTTATTTTTTTTAGGAGTAATATTCAATTTCTTAACAAGGAAGTATGTGAATTTCTTGAAGTGAGTTGGTGCAAAATTACGATCCAAACCCTGCGCGTGTTCACGACGTAATCTGGCTCGGTTCGGTTACGCCTTTTATTATATAGCTCAGTTGGAGTAGGTTTTCCCATTTGTCAACGATATTTAAAGGAAGCGAGAGAAACGGAAAGAGGAATTTACAGATTCCCGGTTCGGCCCAATTTCTCATGATCTACGATGCCATGGTTGGGCCCAGAAGTAAAGGCCGGCCCATATTATTTAGCCCAACAGGTCGGGCTTGCTGGATCCTACGTCGTTCGCAATGTTCTACCTTGGGCCAACAGGACCAGAGCCCAGCATAACTTGGGTCAAAACGATTTTGGTCTAAAACTAACACTAAATCAGTAAAAGAAATTAAGAAAATTGGCTTATTTGAAAACCTTGATCAATCAAACCGATTGAAATTAGCTAAACAAACAATCAAATTGATATTTCAATCTTATACCTTAGCTCAGAATACAAGACTTCTATTTCCATTGTAAAGATCAATTGGTTCGATATCCGCCTCACAATAGTCAACTTTAAAAAAATTTGACAATAAATTTAAATGCTACGAACTAAAACCATCATAAATTAGTCTAATGGCATTATTATGTACAGTAAAAGATAAAAGAATTTTGAAACAATGAATTTAAGCTTTCATGTTGACCACTCACTTGACACCTATTTCCTAAGCAGTGGACTTGAATTTTAATGATAGTTAGAAAATAAACAGTATTTTATAGTTTTCCATTTCTCTATCATGTTTTTGTTAAATTTATTGTTCATGTATAATTTTTGTTAAATTTATAGTTGAGTCCAATGATAATGTTTTTTTTTAAGTTCGTGGATAATTAATTACTGACTATTTATTGAGTATGGTTTCATCCAAATGTATCATATATTTTAATTAATACTAAAAAAGACACCGACAAGAAAATTATAAATTCCGTGGTTGTAGTTTAGGCATAGTTACGATTTGTTATTTATCATTTTAAAATTTCAATTTAGTTTGCATCATTTTTAATCGGGTCAATACGATTTAAAAATTTCCAATTCAGTAATTATTCAAACTTCACAAATCGTGGAATAGTTTCTAATTATGTATTTGGTTGATTTTGTTAATGGACTAGGCTAAGTTTATGAGAAAACAAGACCTGAGGGGACAGTTTTCGCATGATTCTCCAGGTTTAAATTTTAACCAAATCATATGATTTTTTTTTTCTGTTAAAATAATATTTTTGTTCCCATAATCTTTAACTTTTTTCCATCTCTATAATGTTCATTTAATTTCAAAACTTTTATCTTGGTTTACGTAATTACCATTTGTTCCTCAATTATGTTCTTTATCTCATTTTTTTTATTATAATTTCAACACAACAATATATTTAATATATATATTTTTAAATGTAGTAGTAAATTTATATTAAAAAGTTTGTGTTAAAATTTTACCAACAATAATCAAAACAGTTTCTTAATATAGATTAAAAAAGGCACATACAATAAAATAAACAAAAATTAATATTTTAATCTTGGAGTGACTAAAACCAACCAAAAATAAAATTATATTAACCAAAATAGCGTTTTAACTTTTCTTTTTCCTTACGTGGTGAGAGTGAAAAGCTTTTAATATAAGTAATATTGTGACTCAACTAAACTATATGCTCCAATTTTTTTTAGTTGAAATGGGAGCATTGAAACTCATAATCTATTAAATAGTACTGATCCAATTAATGCAAAGAACCAAATTATTTCTAAATCTATGAGAATCCAAGCTCAAACTATACAGAAAATTAATAAAATTTTAAATTAATAGAAACCAAATTCTTAGTTTAAGAAAATAAAATTATCTGTCCAACATAAATAAATATAATTTTTTTTTTTTTTGAAACAACCAAGCCCATTAGCTTTGACCTCTCCAGTGTTGCTGGTATTAAGGAAGCAGGTCCTCCCTTTTCCGGCGCCGTTGGTCGCGAAATTGACAAAACTAAACTCAGAATAATGTAAGTTCCAGATCTCAAATCGGACGGACAAACGGGCTTTGGGATTCAGGTCAAATTAGGGTTTTAGAAGGAGAATTCGAAGAAGAAGACGAAGGGTGGGATTTGGGGGACACACAGAGAGAGAGAGAGAGAGCAATTTTCAAAATATTCGATTTCTGAAGTTTAAAGTGAACCTTTTCTTTCTCTCTCTTTTTTTCATTCATGAATTAAATTTTTAAGTGTTAAAACTTTTTTGTTGAGTTCAAAGTCAGTGCTCCTTTAAAGTCAGTTCCACGTACTTCACATCATTTTTTAAATTAAAAATATTTATGTTAATATTAATAATTAAATTACATATTAAAAATAGAGTACTAAAAAATCTTATTAAAACATATATATACAGACGACGCGTGCTCGCGCACGTGTGTGTGTATATATATAATACTTATTTGTTAATTTAAATATTTGTTACAATTCTTTTACTTTTATAATTTTTCCATAAATATTAATCACATCTCGAGGTTACGGTCATTTGATTTACCTTCTCTCATTGTAAAATTAAAGGAGATCATACTCTCATTGTATGAAAATTTGTTTTGATTTATGCACTTCGCCTCATGGGAGATAACGGCTTTACCCTACTACATTTGGTTTAAAAAAAATACATAAATACATAATAAATTAATTCTTAAGTAGATGGTTATAATGAGATTGGAACAAATTCTCTCTAAATCGTTTTGATTAACCTTGATCCTTTTGGAACAATGAACCAATCCATAATGTTGTTTTGATTTAGGCTTCTGTGAGCGCTAAATCAAATTCATCATTTTGAAAAAGAGTGGGACTAAAAGTTCATTCCTAGAAATTTGTGGATTTGTCTCATTAGAGTTTTAAGCTTTAAAAAGTATCTAATAAATTCATAAATTTTCAGTTGTTTATCTAATAGATTTATGAACTTTCAATTTTGTATTTAAAATCCTGACATAATCAACATTTTTAAAAATGAATGAATCTATTGGATGTAAAATTGAATTTTGTGTGTAACAGGTACTTAAATTTTAAAAAATGTTGAATCAACCAAAGATTATTAGACACAAAATTGAATTTTTGGGAACCTATTATAGACACCTCATAAAATTTAAAAATTTACTAGATACAAGTCTAACATACTATAACTAAACTTATAATTTAACCTTAAGAAATAAAATAACATCTCTCAGGCAATAGCACTCACCTACCTCAGATGTCTTAAGTTCGAACCTTGTGTTGATCACAATGTTGTTAAGCTCAAACAACGAGTCCTGATCATAACATCCAAATGTACCCAAATTAAAAAGGGCAAAAATTCAATCTTATTGTCAAAAATACTCATTCACTCATCATCAATAATCCCCTAACTATATCGACATTTACGATTGAAAAATACTAAGAGAGAATTTTAATAATAAAAAAAATCAAATAACTATCCATTTTTTATGAGTGATGAACACAAATTGGTTGTTAATTATTTTAGTCGGTTTCCAGAATCCACCATATAATATTTTGAGTGAATGACTCTTAATATTTATACCAAAAGTCCAAAATTTCAAGAAAACTAACCCCACTATTATACTGCAAGTGTTCTCGGTGAATACGATTACAACATAGGAAAACTAGATTAATAATATATATTAAATCAAGAAAAAAGAAATAGAGAACGCACCAATCAGTAAGGAAGAGCCACGTGACAAAGTACAACGGTGTTCCCACTGGCCAACGTGGACGCATCCCATTGGTCCACCTCGATCGAATCGTACGGAAACCACCAACTCCACATCCCCATTTTCACGTACGGAAAATTATTAAAAAAAAAGGTTTGTTTATAATTTATATAACCCCAAACGAAACCAGCTTTTACGGCGTCCGACGATTGCTCCAAATTTACCTGCAACCCCCTCCCCCGTTTTTACCAAAACCGGGTTTCCAATTCTGACCCTGCCCGGTTTTAACTGGCAACCGACAGGAATGTTCGCTGTCTTTACCTTCAAACGCCCCCTTTGCCTCTCCAAGGGTCACCGGCCGCAGTGGTTGTCAGTCACTTTTACTACGTGTCACAGCGCTAGCCGGTGGCACGCTAAACCTGGTGCACCCGAACGGGAGGGAAACGGAAAATTATATTAAAAAAAAAGGAAGAAATAAAATAAAGGCAAGCTTGGAAATGGGATTTTACAAGTGGTCGCATTTATTCTGTTTGGTTTCTTTTTTTGGGAGGTTTCTATTTTCTTTCCTGAGTTTACCCAAAAAAGAAAGAGATCAGGTTCTTCCATCACTAAATTCTCTTTCCTTCTAAATTTTCCTTTTTTTTCTTTTTCTTTATCCATTTCTTATTTATACCCTCTTCTTCTAGGGTTCTTGTAACACTCCAAAAAAATACCAAAATCCATTCAATTCCACCAACCCACCCAATTTCCCTAGGGTTTCTCTGATTCTCCCACTCCTTTTCTCTAACCCCATTTCAAATTTTCCATCTTTATAGGTGAGTGTTATGTCACTCGATTCGATTCAGTTTCTAAATGGGTTTAATTTTCTGTTAATTTCAAAATTTAATGGTTATTTTTTTGGTCAGATTTCTGGGTTTTTTCTTTCTTCCTTTTTTGTTTTTTTGGGTAAAATGGTGAGGGGGAAGACTGAGATGAAGAGGATAGAGAATGCGACGAGCAGGCAAGTGACGTTCTCAAAGCGCAGAAATGGGCTGCTCAAGAAGGCTTTTGAGCTATCAGTTCTTTGTGATGCAGAAGTTGCTCTCATTATTTTCTCTCCCAGAGGCAAACTTTATGAGTTTTCAAGTTCAAGGTACGTTTTCTTTTTTTCTTTTTATAAATTAATGTTTATAAACTTCTCTTCAAGTCTCTCTAATCACTGTCCTTGTGCCAAATATTAACTTGTGTGTGTATGTTTATGTCCTTTTGGGCACTGTCTATTTCCCTTGGTTCTCCCTCTTTCCAAACAAAATAGTACTTCCTCTTATTAATTGCTCGCTGGAAGCTGGACAACTGTTGCTTTAAAACAAAATGGAAAAGAGATTTGGCAGAAAATTTCAACGTTTTTTCCCAATCTTTATAAATTCCGTGGCAATCCAGATGGCCTACCATTCGATATTCGATATCTTAAGCCGAAGAATGTTAAGTCTAAGAAATTTAGAAGTGGATTTGGATCTTCACTTAATTAAGTCAAACCCTTGTTCCTTTAATTTTTGTTTGTATATTCGTCATTATTTCTAGAATTTTCTCTCTTGTTTGTCATAAAACTAATTGAGCTACTGTTGATTAAGATCAAGGGTGTGACTTGTGAGGTCATTATTCTTCCTATTATTAATTAGGACTCTTTAATTACTCCACTCAATAGGTTTTTAATAGAGAAGACCAGCTGAGATTATAGCTTCTGATCAATTATATCACCACAAATCAAAAACATTATCTTACAATTAAATTAAAAACACCTCTCAAAAGAAATGACGTTTCTCTTTCTCCAAGGGCAGTCAGCAGGCTTTGCAAATAAACAAATTCATAATATATTTATTTTTAATAAAGATTTTCCTTGTTTCTAGTGTTAAGATAATCTGGTTTAAGAGTCATATCAGTAATTAAAGTATAGGTGAGTAATAGGCCGTATAGGGCAGTAATATAAGGAAATGCTAGGGTATCCCAAAATAGGAAGCTACCCCATATTAGGGACATCATTTGGGACACTTAGCTTCAAAATCCAATGGAGGGAAAGTTTTCTTTTTTATCTATATTCTGTGATAAAAATTTCATTTTGCCCCCTATTTGGTTATTCCCACGCATGGCTTTGAAGGCCATATCCCGATGAGAATATATAAGAGATGGTGACAAATCTTGGTCGTTCGTTTTAAATTAAAGTTGTAAACTTTGAATTCATAGGCTAATTATTAATTATTTGGTAGCTTTGTTCTTCTTTTTTTGCTTGATCCTTTCCTAAGAGTAAGATGGTTGTTAGTAATGATGTTTAATCATTAATGGACTTAATATTAATTAACTCCAAATTTGGAGTTAATTCTGGTCTTTGTCTGGTTATCTGTTGATTGGATGGAGATGTTTACAGTATAAACAAGACAATTGATCGCTATCAGAACAGAACCAAAGAATTGATGTCCAGTAGCAACACTGCTCTAGAAGATGTGCAGGTTTGGTCTCAAACATATTCATTTTTCAAACTAAAGATTATTACTTACTCTTCCATTTATGTACAATTTCATTAAAAATATATTTGAATTTTTTGGCAAATTTTACAAATAAAAATAAGTTTTTCAAAACTACTTTTTCTTTTGTTCTTAAAATTTGACTTATTTTAAAATGCTTATCAAAACTCTATATATAGCTAAAAAAAGAACATAGAGTGAAAGTTAATGTTTTTAAGATTAATTTTTTAAAACCAAAAATAAAAAATAAAATGATTATGAAATGGGACTTTAGTTTTTTTGGTGAGATTTTACTTGGAATCATTTACCACACCCCTATGTGTCTGTCTTCTTTTTCTTCCCATATAGAATAGGGAGAAATAAAATTGGGTTTTCTTCCCTTGAAAAGATATAATTCCTCTGGATGATTTATTCATTCAAGGTTTAAACCTTGTTTTGGTTGTTTGAGTTCTTTATTTTAGTTATACATTTTAGCTATTTTACATTTTTGTTGGAATCATGCATCATGATAGCTTCATTTTGGGACTAAAACTTATAAAATCTAAATTTTAGTTTGATGTTTTTCTTAATTAAATTTCATATTACAGTCTCTCTTATGTAAAAAATGTTGTCTAGCCAATTGAAAATATAATTTTTTCACATCCATTATCTAATACATCATATCCATATCATCGCATTTAGTCTTGAATAAAAATTTAAGGATTCAAATCAAACTCACAAATCTTGACATACCCAAGTCAGATTTAAACAATAAATTTTTAGCCTCATTTCAGCATTGTTTTTGTATATCAAATTAACAACTTTAGACTAATGGGGGGTACTCCATTTTTGAATGAGAAATAAAGTTCATGTTTTTTGTTTTGTGTTTTGTTTCTGGCTTCATGTTTGAAATGTGTCTGAATAATCTGAACTTATGAAATTTGTTTGGATGAAAGTTGGAGAAGGAATATGACTCATTTAGCATGACCAAGAAGTTAGAGCACCTTGAAGTTTGTAAAAGGTTTGAGAAGACAATAAAATAGTTTCCTATTTTTCTTTTCTCATAATTAAAAAAGAAACTCAAGAACTCTTTTGGAATAGCACAGAAAACTGTTGGGAGATGGCTTGGATTTGTGTTCTATTGAAGAGCTTCAGCAGCTTGAAAGGCAACTTGAAAGAAGCTTAAGCAAAATTAGGTCAAGGAAGGTACACATATTTATTCATGGCTGAATTAATTCCTGGCCCTCCTTGATTTTGCCCTTTTTAGAATTCTTTTTAGGAATCTTATGTCTTGTAAATGCTCAGTATCAAATGCTGAAGGAAGAAATTGTAAAGCTCAAGGAAGAGGTAATATTTTCAAACACAACTTCCTCTCCAAATCATTCTTCCCACTCACAAGTTCTCCATAAACTTTCACGATTTTGTGTATTATAATAGGTTTCCGAAGGTCCTAAACTTTCAATTTTGTGTTCAATAGATCCTAGTATTTAAAAGTGTCTAATTAAGTCTCTTTTCTTTTGTTTTTATTCTATTCATAGATCTATTAGACGAAAAATTGAAAGTTTAGGGACTTATTAGATACTTTTTAAACTTGAAGAACTTATTAATAACTTGAAAGTTTAGAGACCAAACTTATAATATGACCAAATATATTACTACTAATATTTTTATCAACACACCAGAAAATAAATAAAATCTTGTTTCTATTCGTGGTTTGTTGACTGCAAATTTTCATTTGGCACAGGAGAAAATGTTGCTGGAAGAAAATGCAGCATTGCTGAAGAAGGTTTGCATTAATCTTCTTTAATTTCATAATGTCAATTTTCTTGTTTTCATCTTTTATTTTTTTTAATCATTGAGAAAGCAATTGGGGTAGAAGATTCCAGCCTCTCAAAATGATACTTTAAACTAACCAGTCTAATTTGTAGAATAAATTCTTCTTTACTTTAATTACCAAAAAGAAAAAGAAAAGACTTGTAAAAGTGAATGAGAATAACAAGGGACGATGCATTGATTTGAATTACCTTCGATCCTTCATTCTAGACTCTACGTCATTCTTAAATAATGTTTTTTCCCGTCAAATCGGAATACTAACAAAATAGGTTGTTTTTCATGGGAATTGTTTTCAGGTGGGGACTGAATCAGAACAAAGAGCAGAAGCCAAACAGAGATCAGAAGGCCACCAAGAGATTATGGAAGTGGAAACTGAATTGTTCATAGGACCACCAGAAAGCAGAAGCAGCAATGGCTTCCTGTAGATTTTTACAACAAAAATGCTTGTTTTTTAACTCCTAGGCTTGAAAATGCCAGAAAATTTGCCAAGACAAAATAAAAGAAAAAAAAAGGGTACTGAGTTTTATATGCAGCATTTACACTGAAAGTGAAACCCAACATCACCAAGATCAACACTGAAACTCAAAGTGGTTTCTGACTATAAGTTTGTTTCATTGTATACTTTTCCTCGGAAAAGTATATATGTGAAACTAAGTGTATATTTAGGGACTGTTCCTAATTGTCGGATACTGTGTCTTTTTTTCCCTACTCAGCTTTTGCCTGTGATTTTCAATGTACAACTTGTTAATGTTTCTCCTTTTTCTGTGGTTTGTTTCTCTTTAAATTGTGGATGGGAATAGTCATATTTCTTGAAAATGGAAGATATGTATCATGGTTTGAAAACGTTCTCGTTTCTTATTTATTGTTTTTAGTTTTATTGAGAAACGTAAGTATTTGATAACAATTTATGTTTTTTATTCATCGTTTCTACATTTTTAAATTTATATAGAAATTTTGGAAAAAGAATTCTTGTTTTTATGTTCTCATTCCCAATAAAATTAAGTTTCATTCTTTTATCAATGAAAAAAAATAAAGAATAAGAAATAGTTATCCAAGGCAATTATGTTTATCTTTATTAAAATATTAGAAGAAACGATGAACAAGATCAGGTGAGAACGTTGTGAAACTAGACCCCTTAGTGTTTGATTTTTTTTTCTTTTATTGTGAGAAAAAATATGTTATTGGTCTACACCTCCCTGAAAACTAAATTTCATTTTGGTCCTTCCTTAAAATATATCTATTTATTATTTTGTTTTTTTACTTTTATAATTTGGGTGGTTTGAGATTTTAAAAGATGAAACACGGCTTGAAAACTCGAGTACTAGAATGTAAATGTGATTAAATTCAAGATTCACACTATGTTAGAGGGAGAAAATTGAACTCTCAACCATAATGAAATGAGTATATATTTTTAAACTTTCAAAATTTTCAATTAAATTCCACGGCGTGAAGATTTAAGTTACAAATTTGTCAAAGAAAAGAGATACCTAACAAGTTGACCATTCAAGTTTCAAAATAGTAGACAAAACTACTTAACCCTGATGGCAAAAGCAAGTAGGAGGAAAAATAAGGAAAAAAACACTTAAATTCAACAATAAGAACATCTAACATTGATAACCAAAAATTACAAAATCAAGTAGCAAAAAAGAAAAGAGCTTAATCTAGCTCAAAATTTTCCAAATTGAACGATAATAATAATAAATAAATACTCAACAATAGATAAGGAAGAAGGATTCAATCTAACTAGCTTATTGATCTCTAGCAAAATAATATACGACAAATGTTAGACTTACTGATTTAATTTGATAAAATCATAATTTTAAAATTTCACAATATTTTTAAAACTACCCAATGGAATGTGCAAAAATGATTGTGGGGCATAATTTCTCCAAATGAAAGGGGACACCGAGTTGGGCTTTTTCTGCCATCCATGTTCCCATTTCGTTCCACCCAAACATCAGTTATGCATGTAATCTTCTGTGAAACCCAAAAAAAAAAAAAAAACCTGTAAATTTGGTCGCATGGTTTTAAAAGTTTATATGATTTGGACTTAGTTTGAATTTGGTTCCTACCATTTGAATTTAGTTTCAATTTAATTTCATTTGGTCACAAATTTCATAGCAGTTTTCTATTTGGGTAACTGTGTTCTTTATGCATATTAGGATTTAGAGTCGGGTAAAGAAAATAAAAGTAAATAGGTAGATTTTTAAGTGAGTAAAACACAATTAATTAATTGTGAGATTTAACGAACCATAGAGACGGAATTAAAACATTTAAAAAATCAACTTTAGCTAAATCTAAATCATGAGGACGAAATGGAAATCCTGAGATCAAATTTATAATTCTAAACCATAAAAGGAAAAAAAAATCCACTTCCCTCCACCTCCAATGTTGTTGTTATTTTGTTTTGGAATTGAAATTAATTTTATTGGAAAAAAGTCAGCCTTCCGAATAATAATTTATAAATACAGATCTCCAATTAGGCAGCTTGTGTCTTGTTATTTACTTTCCAATTGAATAGCACCCAAAAGTTGAAACCTAATTTGGAAATTAGGTATCGGCATGCTCCTCCTCAGATTCTTTCTCCGTTTCTAGTGAGATTGACAATGATGTTCCTCTATCTACCAAGCTTCAATCACTGAGTCGTGGAATTTGGATATCTTTTAATTTGATCTCTATAATTTAAATTACATAATTCTTGTGGTAAGTTTCATTGAAAAAACGTAGGTAATTACCATCCTGTCCCATGATGGTTGGCTATTATTGTAACTTAATGTTAGACTTCTTTCTAAACCGGCAAGGCTCTCGATAAAATTAATTTTTTTTTTTATAAAATTGGACAATTTCAAAATTATGATCTTTAAATGCCCTATTCATATACTTATCCCTATATTATTGAACTAAATAAATAGTATTAAGAGCAATTTCACTTTACTTATATATCAAAAGAAAAAAAAATTAACTTTATTTATTTATATATATTTTTCAAAGAAATTTCACTTTAAATATTAATTAGGACATCTCATGTCATTGGATAACTAAGTTTTTCTTAAGTGCAACATATAGGGATGGAAGTTCGAACTCGATTAGAGATATATATAGCAATTATCACTGAGCTATGTTCGCTTTGGTCATTAGATAACTAGTTAAATAAAAAACCTTTCTTCTAAAAAAGCCTACACTGATTGGAGAATTAACTGATAACTAATAATGCACATTTTATTATTATAGACAAGAAAGACGTAGAGATAGAGTCGTATTACTAAAATACCACGCTTAGGTGCTAGCAGATCAAGGTCCATAAATATGGATCAAGAAATTAAATTCAACAAATAATATATTAATTAATTTCGCCAATGTTTTTAGGGAGATGCGTGCCACTACCAAATTCATGACCAATGTTGTAAGTGTTATTCTAACCTATTAGCTTAAACATTTTAGTCTAAAGATAAATAAATATGGTATTAGAATAGGGCTCACATGAGCATAGCTTAAACATTTTAGTCTAAAGATAAATAAATATGGTATTAGAATAGGGCTCACATGAGCATAGCATCCATTAAGGTATCTTGTTGAGAAAGAATATGAAGATCATATTTAGTTCAAACTCGTGCAATGTTATTTTCTCTCTGTTACATGTATAATAGTTAACATGTCAGAGGTTGCATTAAGTTTTTTTTTTTTTTTTTTAATTTTATAGTAAAAGAAGTGGGGGTGGGGAAATTCAAACTCATGACCTCTCCCCACATGTTTCAAATAAGCTTTTAGGTCTAGTAGTGATAAATTTAATATTGTTGGAGGTGGTTTTAAACCTCTTACATGACATATCTTGATTGGAGGGGAGGATTACACGTGGCTTTATGATGGCAAAGTTTAGTTTCATCACCTCGGTATTCCGATTTTATATTGAGTCGATGCCCAACATGTTCGGGCCGAACATGTTCTCTTTGAGTCTTGCTCCCCTTTGCTAGCCAAACTGACCTGGATATACTCGGCTCAACCTTCCATTTCGACATATTCCACGACAACACACAGTGATTCACGGTTACCTTAAAAAACCATTGAGGTCCTATCGGAAAGATGTCGGAGGCCTCACCTATAAATAGAAGTCATTTATTTTTCAGGTACGCGAACACTGTATTACTCTCTGAATACTGCTCGGATTCTTCTCGACTTGGGCGTTAGAGTATTTTCTGTCTTGCAGGTTTCTTGTCCAGCGCTTCCCAACTCATCCTCCAGGTCATCTTCTGATTCGAACCGAGGTTTGTAGCTTGATCATTTTCGTGATCAAATAAATACCTGGGGCACACAATTGAATATATCATTTTTAGCTCAACTAGCCATTTAAGTACATATCTAAGACAAAATTAAAAAGTTGATACTAACAAAACGAATATATCAATTTTTTTTTTGTAGTGTATCCTAAAATCTCAAATAATCATCTAAAAGAGATTGTATTAAAAAATTTGTGAGTAAATATATATCTTAGTACCTAATTTTTCAAGCATTCTTTTAACGTAATCTTTATTGTTTAAAAAAAGTTATTTAGTTTCTTTATTTTAATATTTTTCATTTACTTGGATAGCCCAATTTTCTCAATATCCAATCCCTCCACCGACGAGTTGATAACCACTAATATTTTCTTATTTGTCACGTGTATTAAAAAAATTCTATTTGTCACCACTCACGTGTACTTAAAAATAAAAGCGACTTCCGTATAGTAATTCCCGGCGACAAGAAATTGATATCCACATATTATTTCCAAGTAACCGAGACTGGGGATGTGGAAGTACAATAATACGAGTAAATGGGGGAAATTGTCATCGGTATACCCCAATTTTCTTTTACGAGCTTTCGTCCCTATTAAGGACAGTGATACGTATCTTCACAATGGTATAATATTGTCTGTTTTGAACATAGTCCGATCATTCCCTTCTCTAACTAAAGTGGAACTTTGTTTCCCATCACCCTACAAATCCAACCATCCCTTTCTAAAAACTAGTTATTATTGTAACTTTCAATTATTTTTCTATCAATTCCTTCCTATATTTCTTTCTAGCTTTTTTCTTTTAATTTTTGAACCAAAAACTTAACCCTCTCTCTAGATCAAACAAATCCATAGAGGTGTGTTAAAAATCTCACATTAACAAGATAAATGATCTAATAAAGTTTATAATAGACATGTGTTGTTCTTCTCATTACCAATTAGTTTTGAGATAGAACTCCATGAATATTAATAAGGTGAAATCAATTTCAACACTCGTTATGTTGACTATTCTCTAATACTTTCCTTTTTATTTATTCAAATATAAAATTTATGTTTTCTTTTCAATTTTTCAATTTCACGTTTTATGTTTTTAGTTTCAAAAAATACCATACATGTTTGGATAACTATTTTTTGTTTTTTAATTTCTCAAAAATGAAAAATCAAACATGTTTCTATTTTGAAAAAGTTGGAGAGTTGAAGAGATAAATTAAAAAGAGACAAATCTATGTAGATACTAGAGATGACAACGAGATGGGGGTAGGAGATGGGCATACCTTCTCATCATTGTCCTCGTGGAAACTTGTAGTCACCGTCCCCATCTCATTCTTCTATTTTGGGAATTGAGGTTCAAGTCGAGGAATCCTCGTTTAAAAACAAGGATTTTCATCGAAAAAATTACTAGTTTATAAATTAATTCTAATTATTTTTAGAATTTTAAAAAATAAAAATTATTATTTACTAGTATAAATAGTTAGTTTAGAAAAAGATTTAATAGTTTATTAAAAATTTAGTAAAATATTTTATAAAATATATATTTATTATTTAAAAAATAGAATCGAAGATGGAGTTATGGCATGGTGGGAAAATTCATATTCCTTGTTCTCAGAGCGGGTATCCGACCTTGCAGAGATTTTCGTCATCTCTAATGTAGAGATATTAAAATAAAAGTTTAGAGAGATAAATAAAAATATTCAGAGAAAAAATTAGTTAGACAAAATTTAAAGCTAAAAAGATAAAATTTTAGAGAAATAGAGTAAATTTGAAGAAAAAAAAGGGTTAGAGAAAGAAAGAAAAAAAAATGAAGGGAGAAAATTTTTAGACAGATGTTTGTCAGAGAAAAAAATAAAAATAAAAAAGAGAGAAAGAAAAGTTATAGCAAAAGAAAGAAATTTAGGTAGAGAAAAGTTGGAGATATTTGTTATAGAAAAATATATTAGAAAGAGAAATAAAAATTACAAAAAAGTAAAATTTGAGAGAATTTTTTTTTTTAACTATACTAAATTTTCATAGAGAGAAAAATAGAATGATATATTATATATAAATGAAAAATTTTGGAGAGAGGGAGGAATAATAGTAAATATTTAAAAGATGAAAATTTTAAAGAGAGAAACAAATTAAGGTAGTAAAAAATTTGAGAGAGAGAAAAATTATAATAAATAACTATGTAAAAAAAAAAAAAAGATGTTGAGCATTAAAATAAAAATAAGATTTTGAAAAGCTCTAGAAACATTTTCTTTTGTGGTTGAATTTCAAAAACATTCTTAAAAAATAAAAAATTGAATGAATTATCCAACAAACTCGTCTTGAAAAATGAAATATCAACAACTAAATATAAAAACAAAATGATTATGAAACCAACGGTTAAAATACTTCATAGATATATGAAATACACCATTTAAATTTATAAGTGTCAAGACTATTTACTTTTACGTATTTAAAAAAAAATTATGTTCTCTCTGAAAAGTAATAATCTAGGGGCGTACCCGTTGGGCAATGACCAGTGGCCCATTAGCACATTCTCTTCAGAATCACAATTCACATGACTAGACGGCAGATTAACGGTAAATTTGGATTCAAAACTGGTCGAAGGGAAGAAATTTATATTAAATTACAAATTTAGTATCAAAATTTTTAAAACTTTGGAGATTGTGTCCCATAAGCTCTGAATAAGTCATTAAACTTTAAACAAATGCCTTTACGAATGAATGAGTGATTTATTAGACACAAAATTAAAATTTAAGAGATTTATTGATACGAAAATTAAAAATTCAGAGATATACTGGACACTTTTTAAATTTTAAAGATTATTAGACACAATATTTAGAGGGAACTTATTAGACATTTTTCAAAGCTTAAAATCTATTAGACATCATATGAAAAGTTCAAGGATAAACTTATAATTTAACAAGAAATATTTAATTAGACTCCATAAATTTTCAAGTAATAATTCATGTATAATGAAAGTTTTTCGTTTTTTGAGAATATAACTTTATAAACATAGGAAGTAGGGTATATACAAGATGAAAAGTGGGCTTGAAAGATGGAAAAAAAAAGGGATAAAATAGACAATCTTTTTAGTAGGGTGTGAGATTGAACTCATAACCTCTGGGTAGTTGGAGATATATGCTAATTATCGTCAACTATGCTTGCTTTGATAGGAAAATAGACATTTAAACGACGTGTTAATATTTATTAATTTTATTTATATTTTCTCTCCTTTCTCGTCGCCGTAGTCCTCTCTTATAAAACCAGTGAGAGGGAGGAACCATGACAAAGTTGGCCAGCACTATGTAACAAGTTAGAAAATTCTAAAATCTAATCAAACAAGTACAATAATGAAAGCCAAACAACAAAGCAGGGTAAAAGGAGTAAATTACTTTTTGTATAGGTCCGTCCCCAAATTCGATCAATTAGTAAAATCTCAAGGACAAAATGGTAAATGTATCTTTATACTAAATTACAAATATTAACACATTATCAACGTGTTTTGTATTTTTAGAATAATCATTCATGAATGTAAATCAATAATTGACCAAACTTTTGATTTACTGTAACTACGTCGGATTTACTGTATTGCTTTGTCTATATTATGTTGGATCTGCCTTATAAATAGCCATTTAGACTATAAACTAAATAGATAAAAAAGAATGTCAAGAATTCGATTCTCCACCCCACATATTGTACAAAAAAAAAAAAGATAAAAATGAATAATTTCACACTTTATTTAATGTGGTTCAATTAAATCGTTAAGTACTTAAAGATTTAGCTGAGGTCTTTAAAACTTTATACTTTTACTGTTTTAGACTCTAGTTTATTTTATTTACTTTTGACTCTCAAATTAATATTTGTATCTATATTGTTTGATACTCTAGGTGAGTTTTTTCCTAGTATTTTTTTTTATATAGAAAAAATGACAAATTTTAAAATTTTAATTACATTATTTTTTTGCAATAAGAGAATGTTAATAATGTTTAAAATTTAATGAATATTATCCATAAGATATAATTAGATAAAAACACACTTCTATGGGGTTACATAATTCTGAAAGGAATAGTAAAAAACAAAAAAAACAAAAAACAAAAAAGCATCGTTTAGTGCTACATTCTTATATATACTAATCAATCATGAGCTTAGAAAAACATCCTTTTGCATTGAAAATTAAATAAATTAATTTGACACATTAATCTTTATAATATATATATATATAGTTAAATTGTTATTTTCTTTTTCCTTTTTTCTGTTTTGAAAATGATGGGTAAAAAAAATGTGTTAATGTGATTTATATCTAAAGTTAAATAACATTTTTTTTATATCTATGTTTTAATTATAGTTTAAGTTTGGTCCTTGCAGTTTTAAAACTTTCTTTTGTCCTCTTATACTTCATTTAAAGTTTATAATACATCACTTCATTGAGAACGACGCAATAAATTTATTTATAAATATTTAAAATGTGTCCTACGATGGATATTTGTTTTAATTGGACATATAAGTTTGACAAGTTGTTTTGAAAACATTAATAGATAAAGTAGAGTTTTATAAAATGTAATTTAAAATATACTAAATTATATAATTAAAAGTATAAGAATGTAGAATTATCAATATTTAATTAAGATTTTAGAAAATTATTTAAATGCATACTAATATATCATTGGCGATTTTTTTCCATAAAAGAACAAAAGAAAAAATAAACATTTCAACTTTTTAGTCAATTTTTTACACCAATCAAACTAGTATTGATCAACTGAGTTGCCTCCAAAATTAGACAACCTATTAGATAAATTATTCGATATTTCGAATAATTCATTTTTTCTTTCAGCAAATACTAATAATTCATATTTGTACTTATCGGATTTTTCTTTTATACATTTCATCAATATTTCTTCAAACAAATAATTGTACGAATATTGAAAAAAATATATTTACATCAATTAGAATAAAACTTTGCTCTTCCCATCGCCCTAACTCATTAATCTTTTTTTTTTATCTCACACAAATATTATGACAACTTTTATGGTTCCAGCACTATCTATTTTAAAATTAGGACTTGATAGTGGACGTGCTCTCCAAAATTTTGGTACTTCATATTTAGTGATTCTATTGTCAAATTTACGTCTTGGGTACATAGTGTTATATATATATATATATATATATATATATTTATTAGTACAATAAAGTGTGGGTGAGAGATTTAAATTCATGATATCTTGATCAGAGACAAATACCAATTACCGTTGAACTACATTTTCATGATGGTTGCACTATACTACATACTTACCTAGAGAGAGGGACGTTATTTCATTTGTGTCATATGGTTTTAATTAATTAGATTTAGAGACTTTATCAAGTTGGAGTATTTCCATAACATGATTTTGGATGTTTTTTTATTACTTAAAATTTTGGTAAAACTTGTTGGTTGGTTATAAAAGGAGTCCCCTCAATCCACCCAACTAATTACAAACCTAGAAGGGCAAAAAAGGAAAAGTAATTGCGTAATTTGAAATGGTCAAAGTAATTGAGTTGATTATAAAAGTAGTCAACAAAACATTGTAACGGTGTCGTATAAGCAGGCGGCCACGTGA